GGCACAAGAGGACACTGAATAATGATTTATGAATCAGTAAAAAAGGGATAACACCCCTATGTCGAATGGCTTCTCTGATATTTCTCCAATTTAATAAAAGAGTGGAATGCATTCATGCCCTACTGTATGAACTCATCACATTGTAACCTCTGGCTGGTTTGTTCAGTACAGTAGTCATAATGTTTGCTTTTTTGTATGTCTATACATGTTTGCTTGAAGGCATTCCTTAAAATTCAGATACAAATGTAAAGAGGCAAGGTAAGAGACTCTATTGTGTCATTATACAATTGTGTTATTTACCTTTTGACATTAGTGGTTCTTCACTTTGTTTTACCTTGTGTGCGGTCTAGAGACACAGCTGTGGTTACGGTTCTTTTTTAACTGCACAATGTAAATAACAAGGCTAAGATTGTGCTGAAAGGCGGCAGCAGCACTGTGGGGAGATGTCTTGGTTTTGATTAACGTTCACATGTAGCTAAGACTTCTTAAGCAGTGCAACAGCTCAGGGAGACGGAACGGGGTATCAGGGATGAAAGGTTTGATAACTTCAGACAGCCACTATGCACGTAGTTTATCAGCCCACACATTTAGTGGCAAGCAATTGGATAGATTTATCCGGCACAAAGGACACACACACACACACACACACACACACACACACACACACACACACACACACACACACACACACACACACACACTGACACACACAGGGGATAGCTATTCCTCACTGTTCAAAGCTGTCTATTATTTGACACTTCCTTTATTACTGATATGTATTAGTTATGTATTTTATTAGCAATCAAATCTGTGTTCCTTAGGGAACAATTTGATAAGTAACCTTAAAAGCACTCTATAAATGTATTTTCACTTTTCCAAACCATTTCAGCTTGCACAGCATGAGCAACCTGTAGGAGTCCAATAACAATCAAATCATTGTTTGTATTTCTCGCTGATGAAAAGACGACTGAGTTTATAGTGAGAAGGCTTGGCATTACTGCCTGCACAGATGTCTGATGTCATCAAAGACTGATTGTTATATGTCCTGCTGGCTGCCCTGATGTTCTCATACTGTTCTGCTGCCTCATTAGTAGTCTGATAATGTTACAGTTAATCAAATAATACTTACATTTTACAAAGCATAAATGTTGTAGTTGATACACTGCAGAACAAATATTTAAATATAAAGGGGAATTATATAGAATTGTATTCTACATTTCTTGGTTTCATGATGGTGCCCCCTATTAGTCTATTTATTAGTCTATTTACGATCCATAGAAGGAGAAAACCCACAGTGGCTTGTTTGTATATTTTTTAACCATCACAGTAATGTCGGGCGTCTGTGGCTAAGTGGATAGAGTGCTGGACTTTGAATCAGGGGATAGCAAGTTCGAGTCCCACTGCAGTCAGCATGTCGTTGTGTCCCTGGGCAAGACACTTCACCCCAAATTGCTCCTGTGGGGATTGCCCACAGTACTGAATGTATGTAAGTCGCTTTGGATAAAAGTGTCTAACAAATGACATGTCAGCGTTCTATCATAGACAGAGCAGACATTGTATAAATATTAGCTTTACTCAGGGTTCGAGTTATGTGGGAGGGGATAAAAGCGTCTAACAAATTACATGTAATGTCAGCGTTCTATCATAGACAGAGCAGACATTGTATAAACATTAGCTTTACTCAGGTTTCGAGTTATGTGGGAGCCAATGGGAGCTGAGCTCACACGGACGCAGTGAAATATTACATCTGTGGGGGTCGCTAATACATTACCAACAACCATTATTTTAATCACAAATAATGCATGTGTCAATGTAATGAGTATTATTTACGTTAACGAGGGAAATTGGCTAAAAGAAAAACATATTTTCCAAAAGAACTACGCATCGTATTCTCTCTTGAATGACAATATGCCTGCACTGCACTTCCAAGGAGCGCAATACATTATTGCGCAATCTATGCCTGTGAGCTTGCTGCGCAAGCCAAGATGATGTGTTATGTGGTGTGTGCGAAGTTGAACCTTTTCATATTTAAGTTTGTAGCAAGTAGAGGGCTGCTGCTGTGTGTGCGCGTGCTTGCATGCGCGCACACGCGTTTTAAAGACCCCCATAAAGCTCAGATTATAACTCGAACCCTGATAAAAATCAAGGCTGAATTGAATTGTTTCTTATAAATGATCAGTATAACAGCATGATTAAATACTGTCTATCTGCATTGTTGAAATAAATATTCAAAGCGGACAAATAATGGGAAAATACGGGTTGGTTTTGACTTGACAATGCTTGATTATGAGTTAATACAGTGGTACAGGAATGAGTCCTAAACCCGGAAAAGAGTTAGCATTTTATAGACCCTCCAGAAAAACGCGGGCTAAATTCCTTGATTATGCGATTAAACATGCGGGGTTTTTAGGTATTTTTATGCGGTGAAATTGCGGGAAGTTGCTAAATATGCGGGAAAAAAGAACAACAATTTTTTTAAATATTGGGCTGTCTTATTTATTCTCTCTCACACACAACCTGCCACTAACGTTAAACCCCTTTACTATTCAATTAAACACATTCAATGTTTATTTATTGTAAAAGCTTCGTTTCTTGTAGCCCTCGAAAGGGTTTTGGAGGTTGATGCCTCGGTGAACGTGGGTTGTTTGGCTTTCTTGTCCGCAGCAGCAGAAAGCATTTTCGAATGTTTGAATGAATCAAAGTGGGTCGTCACCGTCGATTTTCTCTTATGCTCCAACACACAGTTGCACAGGGTGCAGAATAGTTTCCCCCCACTTTTTGCCCGGTCTAAAGACCGGGCAAAAAGTGGGGGGAAACTATTCTGCACCCTGTGCAACTGTGTGTTGGAGCATAAGAGAAAATCGACGGTGACGACCCACTTTGATTCATTCANTCCCATCACTACAACCTCCGAACTTCCTCGTCGCTGCAACCTCGGACGCCTTAAGACGTAAACCTCTCACGGAGTCTTCTACCGGCAGTACGTCGATGGTGGGCTGTGGCTAGTAAGTGTCAATCTCTCGCCGACCGAGAAGGGGTACACAAACATTCCTCTAAATCGAAAAGACGACCTGTTGGACGACGCTAGGTAAGGGACCTGCGGTCTAGTGTGCGCTTCCTCCTACATGTTGATGGCGGTGAGTCGGCACGGTCCAAACTACCAACTTACACGCCGAAACCGTAGGAGAGTAGGGTCACCTCTACAAGTCCGCACAGTAGTGTGCGTCGGGCCTCCATTGTCTCAAACCACACTTCCGGTGGCACACAACGTGTTGAAGGAGGCGTCCTTCTGCTGATCCTTTCTGTGTGCGTGTGGATAGCGGTCTCAGGTGCCTCTTCGAGGTGAGGAAGTTTGGTGACGCATTACGTGGCCCATCCTACCCGAGGTTGTTGCGGTGTGCGTTCTAGGTAGGTTGACTACCCTCTGGAAGTCGAGGGGATAAAAGTTACTCCTCTCCACGCTCACGGTACGTCGTCTTTACACCTACATCTCAAGTGGATGTTTTGGTTTTCGAGAAAATTCTCGATGTGGTTATAAAAGAAATTTTTCGTTTATAAGGTTTACTGGTAATTTTAGTTGTAAGTATTATTTGTACAAAGAACTATAACTATAATACTATACTGATTGTGGAAAAAGAAGTCAGGACAAAAATCACTATTTGGTGGGTACTAATGTTTTCCAAAAGTGGACTTGTTAATGTCCTTCTGCCGTGTAATATAATAGCTTGTATGATCCCAAAGTGGTTTGATTAGCTGATCAACCTGATCAGCTGATGGAGAGAGTGGTGATCAGCGCGACATCGGGATAAGTTGATCAGCACTTTTTTTACCTTCCATTTGCTACCACGACGTTTTACGTATGTTTTGTGCAGGCTGTAAGAATACATACCGATCATGAAGTTGCTTCTTTACATTGTTTGCAGGTTGTCACTGTCACAGTAACACATGTCGACATGACTTCGAGTTCTGTTTACGTAGACGATACGCGTTGGTAGACTTCTACTTTGTGGACGACTGCCTGTCGATCGTGATCGTCATTACGATCGTGGTCACTCCGTTGCCTGGCGCAGTCGTGACTTGTCTCCGTTTGCTTGTCGTTCTTTTGGTGCCCAGTTGTCACTACGCCCACTACTCGATGGCCCGTAATGACGGTCGCCTGTGGTCGTATAGTGGGTGTTACCTATTAGGTGACTTCACCACTAACGTCTTTTGCACGGTGGCGAAGGGGGCGAAAGCCCCTCGATGGACGAATAAGGTGGTGGGGCTCCACTCTCTCCAAAAAAGGGAACGTCCGTTGTTACATAGTGGGCCTTTCGCAGTTCGGATGAAGGGAGTGTCACAGCTACGCAAACCACAAGTCTTGGTTTTTGTATACCTTTCACCTCGCAATGCAACCTCCCTGTCGCTTTTTACACAACGCGCTTACGCGACAACCCCACGTGACCTAAATGCACCTAAATTACATTTGTTCTCAAAAACGACAGCTAAACCACTTCAGGTCAATGAACAAACTTATATAAATGAGTCGGTACATTGTGTTTATATTTTACGTCAAAATTACAATGAACATACTCAAGGTTATCTTTTATGTCAACATTTGGAAGAGAAGACAACAGAAATTAATACTGCATTGCTGATCAGCTGATACAGCCCTGCGATAAAACTTTTGCACAGCTGAATCATTTATAACCATCAACCACTTTGGGGATGTGTATGTACTTTCGGAAGACACCCTTACAACGTTGACTGTTTGGTGTACTTGGTTGCACTTCTGGGTGATCATATCGGCCTATTTGTATGAAATTTATAAAAGAAAACATTACAACAGTCACTCACCACACTTACTCACATTTTGTCAAATTACACCTAGTCTATAGTCATTTAGTTATAAAGGAGAACAGACGGGGATTTTGTGGAAACACTTGACAGTTTAGAATGAGAATTGGAGATAGCAGAACTTTAGTTAAGATACCACCCGGGGGGGGTTATCGAAGAACTTCTTACTGTCCAGGAGCAGGAGGGGTGGTGGTGACCACCCCCACCACCACCGTACCGGTCTTATCCTGGCTGCCGTTCTGTCGTTTGAAACAACTTTCTCCTGTAGAGTAAGGGGAAAAGGAAATAGGGGCCAAGCGTTGTGAGCGAGAGGACAGGACAGAGGAGACGACGACCAAAGCGACCGACTGAGCCGTCAGAACTAACGACGACCGACGGACCGATCTGACCGGACTTACTGACCGACCTGACCGACCTGACCGTACCTGTACCGACCGACTGACCGACCTGACCGACCTGACCGAGCGACCCTGAAAAAAAACCCCCCCCCCCGGTGGACCGACCGAAAGGACCGAGCAGTAAGGAATCCCGTGGTCCCACCTACCTCCTTCCCAAACGGCCCCAGTGTACGACCTGCAGAGTTGCCTAGTTGTACTTACCCAAATTTTTTGAGTACTGACAGCGCTCTGCGGTCCCGAATTCATAGGGGGGCTTCGGGACGTGGGCGAAGAAAAGGGGGAGGAAATAGTAAAACAAAGAGGAAGGACATGAACAGGGGGGAGTCACAGAACGCCGTAAGATAAGACGTGTGAAGCAGATTATTTTACTTTACTTTCTTATATCAATTACAGAAATTAAAAAGCTTTAATAAGGAGGTAATTACTATTTGGATAGTGAAATAGTGACAGTTAACGTATTTTCCAAAATGTACCAGTGTGGAAATAGTCTTATTTTTATCTTTTAGTCTTGTCCAAATAACGATGGTCCATCCAACGTGTATGATCTTAAACTGAACTACAGTACCACGTATATATTTTTTTTTCTTTCAGATATTTTTTCGTGTTACAAAATGTGTGATTATTTATGTCTAATTTAACGTTCATCTATTGTTAATTTTACTTTCGCTCATTAAATGTACCCTTTATCTGTACGATACTTTACGTAAAAACGTATGTATTCTGGACATCTTTCACACTTTATGTCTTATCACGTCTCTTCTTAATACTGTCACCGCACATCTACATACGTCTATATCAGACTAACTACGACCGTCTCCATTCACAGTCCCCTTACCGATACTACTTGTAAATACAAAACAATTGTAAAAATGTACAATACTCTAATTAAGATACCACGATAATAATACGATGTTAAAGGTACGACGATCTACTATGTACAGAATACTGAACGATCGTTGCTTCATTGATCGTTGTTTCATTGACTATATTTGCTTCATTGATTTTTTTTTTTTTTTATTATTTTGGTGTGTTGTTCGCTTTTGTCGATGGGTCAAAGTGGTGTACCGAGCACGTGTGGAGGTTGATGGTATCTGCGACCAAGGATGTGCCCATTAATTTAGTGGCTCATTTCTATTTATTCCTGACCAGTATTTCTTTAGTCTTTTTTGGGCATCCACGACAGCCAGCAGTACCAAGGAGTGGGTGGACTTGTAGTTGAAGTACAGGGACCCAGAATTTGCCGGAGCCTGGATCACCACGTGCTTTCCATCAATGGCACCAACGCAATTCGGAAAGTTCCAGCGCTCCTGGAACCCAGCAGCGATGGCTCTCCAGTCCTCCATCTGTGGTACCGGCATGGTCTCCTCCACCAGGGCGGTCCAGATGGCACCCGCAACCTCCCTGACGATGACAGCCACTGTTGAATGCCCGACCCGATAGCTGAATGCTATGGTCTTGTAGGAATCACCGGTTACCAGGTACCTGAGAAAAAAACAATATACATGATTAAAATAAATATGTCAGACCCCCACATACACACACAAGACTGTGTTTACCTAGCTATCTAAATTAATGTCATCCATCTTAACTAAATCAAAGACTTCAGTCATCATTCATCCATGGCATGCATTCTCTTTCTTTCTATACAGAGTCATATTAAAGAAATAGAAATACACAAAACGTACCGTAGGCAGATGGCGAGTCGCTCGGCGGGTCCAATTGACAAACGCATATGGGTGTCCGCCTTTGTAATCACTGGACCCACTTTCCGGAGCAACTCGTCGAGCACGTGTTTGCTCATCCTAAAGTACTGCTGAAACAGCAGGTCATCCAGACGGAGCTCTTGGACCAGAACGTGGTATTCCCCCCGTTGCAGACGTTTTCGGAGTATTGGATGTACCCAACAGCGACGCAAACTATATGGCCTCCAGCGAGACATTGCATCCACTAAATTCACCCTTGCTACTACTCCTACTACTCTTGCTACCCTTGCTACAGAACCGGCATCCATTTTGACAATAGTGGAGAAGAACCGGGGTTTTTTGCTTTGTATGTCGGGGGCGGGACATTCATGTGATTGGTTGTTGGTCGCGTTGCTCGCGAAAAATCCCCAAGCTCTCAGACACGTCCAAGATTTTCAAGATTTTTTCAAAGCTGCTGTGTGGACGTACCGTGAGTCTTAAAAAACCCACACACGAATGCACAGCGATCCATGCACAGAAAGCGGTTTGTGTTTGCAGGTGTTTGGAGGTTTTAAACGGATAACAAATATGTGAGGATCAAAAATACATATGTAAAACTTTTGTCTGTATTTGGATTTTATTTACATGTATATGAAACGGAACACATTTGTGTGTGCATTGAAAAACACAAGTGTGGATCCGGAAATACAAGTGTAAATCCTTTTGCGGCTCATGAAATACAAGTGTGAATCCTTCTGTGTGCATGTGTGTATTATGAGACTGTTCTGAGCCCATAAGACCCCGCCTCCGACGCTGTATCCAGTTCTTATATGGTGTTTCTCAATGTCAAGTAAAGATGCTCCAGAGCCACTATTTCAAGTATACTACGTCATCGAGTGCCGCCGAAGGACTGTTCCAATGTCCTTCTACCGAGCCTTTCTTCATAGCGAGAAATTTCGAGGCTGCACATGTGTGGACTCCGCGGTCTTAAAATCCCCACAATGCTTTGCGCACGGACCAATTTCCAAATCTTTGGCGGAAATCGCGCTCCATTTAAGGCGGGGCCTCTCATATGCTGCACACCTGTTAGCCCGACTGTCAGAGAAAATATCCCAGTTAGGAGTTTTTTTAGGAATTTCAACTAGGGACTTTTGGCCACTTTAAAATCTAAATAATGGTTGAATATGAAAGGCTATATGCAGAGTGAGAGAGACGGAGAGATATCAGTTGGTAATTAAATATCGTATACAAGATATACATTTCAGAAGTAAACGTGAACTTGTGGCTGAGTTTAATGTGTAGCTATCCAAAATAGGGGTGTCCCAATATCACATTATCAGTATCATAATTCCAGCATGTCTTTTCTGATATACAACACATATTTGCCAAACAGTAGACAGCTGTAATGATATACATAAACAGGAGTGTCCTTTCCGAATAGAACAATGAGTCAGGGAACATCTCATTATCTGATGCGAGTTACCTGCACTGAGGCCTGCCAGCAGATACATTTGGAGCTTGTTGTTACAGCAAATGGCAGAAAAAGCAGTTGAACAACAACATCCCAACTCATTCAGCTACTCTCCGAGCTGCGATATATCAGTGTGATATTCCTGCCAAATTTGTATGCATTAGTGGCATTTTACTGAGTTTTTATTTCTCCTGTCAACTTTGTTTCCTTGCTTTACAATATGTTCTGTTTTATTCACATGACTTTGTCAAGGGTTTGCTGTGTTGTTTGTGTGCTTCAAGGTGAATGTTTTTTACAAGCCTCTAGGGGATTGTCAACCAGTCATTCCTGACAATCACAGTATTTTTTTACTGCCGTTTTTAATTCATCTTGTGGCAAAAGAAAAATCTGATTGTGTCTTGACTGTGAAATATGACATAACTGACCATGAGCTGCAGGAGACGAGTCATGATTTTCTTTAAATGCATCGGATAAATGCATACTCATTACTCAAACATGCAAAGGAAATTTGAAACTTGATTTAAGGTGAATCAAAAGTGAAACGGAAACCACGGCGCCTGAGGTGAAAAGGGCGGTTGCGTGGAATAAGATATGGAGATAGAGAGGATAGAAAAGGGAAGGAGGCTGAAACATTCCTCGGATGTTTGTTGGGCTCGGCTGGCAGCGCTCTAAGAACCAAGCTTCCGTTTAGCTGCAGTACAATTCCTCAGCACAACAACAACAACAACAACAATAACAACAACAGCAAGTGTCCCTACAGCTGGGGAGTCAGCCCTCTATCTCTGACCAGTCTGCATCAGTGCACACAGTCACCTCTGCTCTGTGGAGCCGTGGATATCTGCCATCTGCAGCAGCTTGTTCTTACCATCCGGAGCAGGTCAACATGTGTTCACAGCTCGTGCTGCTGCACTGACAGGACATGCTGGCATGGTCACAGTTTATGGCACCATATTACCAAACAATGTTATTGGAATTAAAGCTTTAAACGACAATCAGACACCATGAAACAGGGATGAATGTTCTGACTAAAGAGAAGAAACCAGGGTTAGTTATCAAAACCTTGTCTGTAGCAGTGGTACTAGAGAGTTTGCATAATTGTTTAAATCATAAAAATGATAGATTAAAAAAAAATGTGAGAGGCTGAAAAGCGTATTATCTGGCATTTTTTAAATAAATGAGATAATGAATTCAATATTTGTATTATTATTATTTTTCTGTTGTTGGAAATTTTTTTGGAGTTCTGGCAAAAATCCTCTCCAGACATTTAAGTATTCATCTTGATTTATTTAGACAGTTTCGCCTAATTCTAATGTTGTTATTTTATTATAAACTGTTACTCACATTCTTTCCTTTTGTTTATTTCTCCTTGTTTGAACTCTAGTCTGATCTATCCTCTGTTTCATTGTCATTGCTGCTCAATCTTCCTACGAGAATCAATACATGTTTATCTCATCGTATCTTATTATTGCTGAAAAGAAAAAATGGCAATTTTTAAGTAATACAAATTATGAGTTACTTAAGTAATGAGCTGGAAATGTGAGTGTTGCAGAGTGAGAGAAAGGGCAAATAAGCGTGGAGATGAAAAAAGAATAACGTGGTAAACAGCAGTGAATTAGAGGACGCATTTCCAGGGTGATATAATCTCCCCTACTGTCTCGCCACCTTACCACTGGGAAACAACAGCATTGTCTGCTGCCAGAGAACACAAGCACACACACACAAAGCCCTGCGAGACACACCGGCTGCGGCTTTATCACACAGGAGACTAGGTGCTGGAGAAAACACTGAAATGAAACTCTTAAGGCCCACACACACACACACACACACACACACACACACACACACACACACACACACACACACACACACACACACACACACTTGATTTGCCTCTGCCACAAATGGAGTGGGGGTGAGCCTCTTTATATATATGTCGGATTAAACTTGGAAGGGAGAGCGAAATGGAAAGAGATAGAACGACAGGAGCATAAAAAGAGGAGAAATCCGATCCACTGCAGGTCTATCACACACACACAGATACAGCTGGAGCCAGCTACAGATAATACTGACATAACCCTGATGTAACCCTGACAACAACTCTGTTTCCAGCTCCCTTGCCGTGTTTGATATAGTACCAGAGAAACCCACACACACCAAAGGGTTCCTTTAATACACCTTGCTTTAAAGGCAACTGTTTCAATAAGCCAGATACCTTTGCTTTTCTGAGAAAAAGCAATTGTGCTCATTACCGTATTCACGTAATTAGTTTGTGATTGTAATGCCACATCTATTAGTTCACTGTATATATTACTGCAGTGTCATATGTATTTAACGGCAAGGTGCACTGTATTCAAATCACACAACACGTGAGCAGTCTGTAATCCACAAATAATTTAACAAATACAAAAATGCCATTATTCAGCCTTTCAAACACGGATAGTTCTGCTTTTCTCTGTTTCACCTGACATTCATTTAAGTATTATTAAGTGACTGTATCTTTGGACTGACTTTACTAAACTTGGATGAATATTTTGTTATGTTATGACATTATGATTAACTATGAAAATATTCAGCAGATTAATCAATAAGAATAATTGTAGTCTGTTGCAGCACTATAAGACATAATTGCGAACAACCTATGTGGAATAAAGCTTTCTGTACCCTGTCTGAGAAAAAGTACACAATGGGAATATGTAAAAGAGATTGAATTTGAAGCAATGCTCACATTGAGTCATTAGGTCACCATGCCCTTAGTAATGAGTTGTGCAGTTGTGATAATAAAAGGTTCATTACCCGGAGCCATGGCCAATTAGGCAGCCTCATCCTGGATTAAAGCGCGGCTTCTGCAGTAAAACCACAAAGGACAAACGTGCTTCTGCCCGGTTTCATTCAATTGAGCTGAAACGCTTTCTGAGAATCATGTTAAACTGTAGTTGCTGTGGTTTGACCACCAGCTGCGACACAGAAATGGAACTGAAGGCCGAAACCAAACGTGTGAACGAATCCCAGAGACAAAAAGAAAGGTTAAACGGTTCTTTTGAACAAATTAACCAACTTGAAGAGCATCAGAATAAATGCTGGTGACTCTTACACTTCAATCAAGCTCAAGGTGGATGTGAACATTTACTTTATATTTAGAATGACTAAAAATGACCAATAATTTATTTGCTTTACTGTGACACTCAAAAGTAAAGAGTACGGCACATTAAGAGATAATATGTTCCCTTTCCAACAGTATTATGTGGATAAAACGTGTCATTATTTCCCAAGATAAACAGTAATGTGTGTTGACTTCAGTATAATCTGAGAAAAGGCGACTAATCAAAGTGTGTTCTGCTCTTGGTGGAGAAATAAGTTGTTCTTATGCTCTACGCGTAGCAGTAGAAGTTTGCTTATTGATACAAAATCAGTTGAATTTTTTCAATTTCAAATAATACTGGGTTATACAAGTGATGTGACAGGAGATTTACAGGCAAGTGGTACCAAAAACTAGTTTTAATAATAAAACTGACCTCAACTCAGCTGATAAATTTAAAAAAACTAAATATTACTCAGGCTAGATGTTGAAATGCTTTCTACCCCACTCCACTTAAAACAAATGTCTTAGATGTTCCTTCAAATGAAACAAACATTTTGGCGATGGCATTAATCTCAATCCACTTTTATAAACACTGAAAATGAATCTCATACATTTCAGGATTATGTATTCTGTGTCCGTTAAATTGCATTACAGTGAGTTTCAACTGAATCATAACTTTGGCCAGCGTAGCACACACATCTGTTTATCGTTACTTTATTTCAAGGTTTCTCTGGAGTGTGCTATAGCCTGTGGTGAGCTTCCTGTAAATACAATGCAGC